AGTTCCACCTTTTGTCTAGTTGTCTAATTGCTCAAACAATTTTTTCAATGTTCACACATTGATTGCAATCAAAAGTCCCTCCTTCCATTTTCCTCTCCATTTCATGTTGATTATCTCTATCACTCTAGTATTTCCTTTTTACCCACTTTCCTGCCCCTCCCTTTTTTCTCTTTTCTCTCTCGGACTAGTTACACCTTGGAAATAAAATTAGGTGGGATGAATATAACATGAACATAGACATAAAAGGAATTGTAAACAGGTACAGATCGAAATGGAGTAGATTTATAGTGACACATATGACTCCCTTGTAGAGTCATGTGGGTCTCATTGAAAAAATTGGATCGAAATGGAAGAAATAAAAATTGAACAAATAGCATATACAATAGATGTAAGACGTTGTAGAATGAATTAAACCTTGGTGAAGTTTTAATTTATATTTTAGCATCTGCACTATAGCAGTAATAAGAAGCGTTCTGAGTAAAAAAAGAACAACAGAAATAGGAAAAGGGAAAACCTGATAAGAAGAAGAAGAAGTGCCAAAGAAAAAGTTTGGCGGAAACGGGGAGGAAGAGAGATTCTTTAAGCTCTGTGTTAGAACAGTATTGATGCGAGCTGATACTACAAATGGTAAGACTAGCAGCAGCAGAAGAATAACTCCGACTGCCGGAGCTTTGCGATTGCCCATTTATTTCTGATTGAAATTGCTTGAAATCTGCAAGAACTTAAACTCCACCTCCTACCTACTTACAAAAGTCACAACAACAATACCAGTAGTAGACTGGTAGGTAGGACTAAAAGACAAGCGCCCCGAATCAGCATACTCTCCACAAAACATTTCGTCTGTACACGTCTTTGTCAATGTCTGTATTAAAATTTGCATCAAAATACATTGTGACCACTCGGTTAAGGACTACTTATTTGAAGATCAATTACTTTCATAGTTTCATGTCTAAAAGGTCTCTTTTAAGATTCCAAATTTCCAATCATATTTTAAAAGGAAACTTCTCAAGATATCACTAATACCCAGTGAGTTTCTCAAGATACCAAACGGGAAAATGGAAACTACTAATCTCACTTTTTATCAGTTTTCTTACGGTAGTCTTACATTTTCGTTATTCAAGAATAATTCAACCTTTGCACCTCATCTTCATTCGTTGGTCCCTGGCCGGTTAATGACCTGTTATTCCAAGTTATTTTCTTATCTTTGCAAAATATTATATTTGTGAAGGGTATAATGGTTTGCAAAGATAAGAAAATAACTTGGAATAGCAGGTCATCAACCGGTTAGGGACCAGTGAATGAACATGAGGTGCAAATGTTGGATTATTCATGAATAACGAAAAAGTGAGACTATTGTAAGAAGACCGCTAAAAGGTTGGATTATTAGTTTCCATTTTCCCCTCCAAATATGACTAACTTAGTTTTTAGACATTTGTATGACTCAAAATCCCAAAAAAGAATAAAAATTCGTTCATATTAAAATGTTTAATGACAAAAAAACTCTTATTTAAGATATGTGCATTTTGTATTAATTTTGTCCAATTAAAATTAATGCACTTCATATTGCCGTTACTGCACGACATTAATGCACGTCGTTACCGCACATCCGCTAATAATCACTGCACTTCCGTCAAAATTATTTCTCTTCTCATCCACTTTAGAAATTTATTTATAGATTTTTATTTTTTATATTTTTACAATTAATAATTTAAGTATTTTACGTCTAATTAAATATTTTGCATTTCATGCCGGTCTTACTGCTCTACGTTAATGCACTACTTGTCATAATTATTTCACTTCCCGTCAATGCATTCTTTCACTGCCCATCAGGGCCGGTCCTGATATATTTAAGGCCCTGTTCAAAATTAAATAAAAGACCTTCTAAAAAAATATTGCCTCTGTCTCCATGTTAAAGTCATATCTTTCTTATTGATAATTAATTCAATTTTAATAATTAAAATTTACATATTCAGAAACTACATTAAAATTTCTATAAAGTTGCAAAATCCAAGTTAAAATTTAATTAAAAGTTGAAATCCTAATTAAGTAAATCCTAATTTACTTATTCTAGTTAGTTAATATGGCTGAACTGGGAAACAAGACTATTGTTTCTTAATTCTCATATGATTCTAGTTTTGTTTCTAATTCGTGTTTCCTTTCTTGTCTAGAACTATAAGCAATCTCGCTATGTAAAGGGGTTATTGCTATTAAATAAAGTACATTATAAAGATTTAATTTGTGTGGCTTGAGAAGGTTGGGGGCCGATTAATTTAACAAGAATAGCTTCATTAAATTTTACCAATGTTCTAAAAGGCGCTAGACGCTAGTCGGGCGCCAGTCCAGCGCCTAGCGCCTAGGCGGCTAGGCGGACGCCTAGTCGGGGATTAGTTGGAGACAAAGAAATTGCATTTTTATCTATATTTTTGCATAAATATGATATTGTATTTTTTGTGTATAAAATACATATATACACATACATTCACAAACATGAATGATAGCATTATCACATTTAATAATCATACGTAGTATATGGTAACTAATCATTTAACTTCATTATGTTATCAATATAAATAATAATAATATTTAGGTATATATACAAACATATATAGTTTTTATTTTAATTTACCGCTTCATTTCTTTATATATGTGGCTAAAGTTAAAGTACTTGTATCGCTAAAAAATTAAAATTAAAAAGTAAAGTAATGTTCGGGGGGATCTAGACGGCCTAGGCGGCTAATTAAGCGCTCTGGGCAGGAAATTAGGCGTCATAGGCGTCGACTAATTCATCTAGACGGAAAACCAATTAGTCAGAGCGCTTAGACAAAAATCGGGGTGCCCGGCCACCGCCTAGCGCCTAGGCGGGGACTAGACAGACGCCTAGAACAATTTTTAGAACAGAGAATTTTACTGATTCTTTTTCTCTTTCCCGATTAATATCTCGAACGCAACCCTGGATTAGGGCTAGCTCTCGCCTCCTTAACAATTTGATATCAGATTTGGGAACAATGGAAAACACATTAGTGACAACAGAAGCGTTGAAAGCCTTACTACAAGGCACCGATCAATGACAACTTGACATCGAAGAACAATTAGTCGATATCAAGAACACTGTAACCGACTTGGCTGGAATTGTAGCAGCTTTCGCAAAGATGAGAACTGTGATCAGCCTCTCAAACACTCTCAACCAACTTTTGCAGGATCCGCCATCATCCCGTCTACATTCTCAATGGCCATGACATACTGATACCCACCAATGCGACTTAGACAATGGGATGGTTCAAGGAACTCCAAGTTGGAATGTTGGAATTTCCCTAGTATGATGGGTCCAGTGATCCATTAGCGTGGCTGAAGCGGTGCAAGCGGTTCTTTTCCTAGCAATGCATCCAATCGCAGGAACAAGTAGGGTTGGGTATTTTTCACATGACTGGTAATGCCCAACTCTAGGAAGACCAGTTAGGTCCAGCGTGAGTAGGAATTACGTGGATAGAGTTCTATATTTGTTGTTCAAAATGATTTGGGCACCCAATCAGCCACAACCTAGGGTGATCTGGTGAATTTAAAGTAATCGTCTGACTTAGAATCTCATATAACTAAGTTTCAACAGTTGCAAGCCCGAACAACTAGAGTGTTGATTTGCATGCAAATTAAAATTGTTATGGCTGGATTTCGAGAGACACTATGCATGGAGATTGAATACCATGAACTCGTTGATCTTGACATGACCATGATGCTCGCCAGAAGCAACAAGCTCAAATTCCTCGCAGCTGCGACCTCAACAAACAACAATACATGTGGATCTGGTAGGTGAGGCATTCAAATTCATCACTTTGTTATCCTTAAGCCGACACCATTAGAGAAAAACTACAACTCTGCGTTTAAAAAGTTAACATAGGATGAAGCTGCTGCACGATAAGAAAAAATGATTATGCGGCAATTCTGATGAGAAGTGGATCTTTGACCACAGCCCACGGGGGCAAACGGTTATTTTTCGTTGAAATTGTGGATGACAACCTTGAAGAGGTCCATGAAACTCAGAGTGAGCCCTTCATGTTAATCAACACAATGATTGGGTTGAGGTTGCATTCCACCGTGCAACTAGTCGCAAACCTCTTCGGTCAATCCCTACTGGTTTTGGTCGACTCGGGAAGTACTCACAATTTTATCCACCAACAGTGGGTCCCCATAAACTGTTCTGGTGGCTAATGGAGCCCGGGTACCCATGAGTGGTATATGTTAGTGACTTCCATTCAATATGAGCATACAATGGCTTTGTGGGTTTGGCTCCATATATCGGTTTTGTAATTGCTTATTTTTGAAATTTTGGATAAAAATAAATTTACTTGATAGTAGTTCCACGTAAATTTGAGAAAATGAATATGTGCTTAATCAAAATCTTATTCTTCTAACCGTGACATATATATGAGCATACGTATTTCATATAAACTTTATGGAGAATGTACGTGGAATCACATTTCAAGAGAAGTGCATTGATCCCCGGTTGAAATAGAAACAATGGAAATTAGATAAACAATCATTGAAGCAGCTAGGGAAGAGTGGAACTTATTTGAAATTGAGTCTAACACCCACACAGTAGTCCAAGGAGTTCTTAAGAAGAAAGGATTATCCTACATTGATCTCTAGTTAATGACATAAAATATGTTATTGAAACAAATAGTAATATTAGTATATATCTTTTTTGTAAGCGATTGGCGAATTGCGCAACCTGCACAATAGGAAGGATGAACATGTCGCTCCAAGATCAAATACATAGTTATGATTGTTTTCTAGCAGGTTTTGTTGTAAACCTAGTGACAAATGATACACTTCTTTAATGAGATTTTCGAATTTACAAGAACTTTTGTTTTTTTCAATACTAGTCTTATGTAAAGCTCATAGAAGGACTTCAAGGATGAGTTATTTCATTTTTGTTATTACTAACTGCCACATGACAGCCTAAATTTTTCTAAAGAAACGAAGAAACTATCAATTGTGATGTTCATCTGCAGGAAGAATAACTCATTATCCTAATCATGGTACTAAATGACTACAAATGGACTGAAGATATTAATACACTCTTAATACGTAGTATTTATTAGCAAGTAAAAGCTTCAAAAAGTTTGTTTTATTGGACCAATATTCACATCATAACGAACACGATAAGGATATTAGAATTTAATAATTCGTCTTCAGCATTTTCTTCTTAAGTCTCTGATTTTCTGCAATAAATTGTTTGTACCATTTTGCTGATAATTTTGGAGTTCTCCTAAGAGTGACACGGTCAACATGGTGCAACCCCATCCGCTTTGAGTACCCATAAGTCCACTCGAAGTTATCCAACAATGACCATACAAAATAGCCCCTCACGTCTGCCCCCTTTCTGATTGATCATATGCAAGAAAAACGGATCATTTAAGAGTATAATTAGGTGAAAATGTAGTTTTTTATAATAAGAAAATGGATTTATTATTCGGTACCCAATGGCATTTCCCAGGACGTTTAGATAACCGGCCAAGAAGTCGACCCGCTTTATATCATCAAGAACTTCTTCCATGCTAGAGTTTGATGTGGTTTTGTCACAATATCCTGAAAAAATGTTTCCCGTTTATAAATTAAACATTTGAGTCATCACATAAGCAAAACATGAACAAATAGACAACATGTGACAATATTACCGTTTTCTGTTATATGAATTGGTATATTGGGATATTTTTCTTTTGTATATGTTACTACTTTTTCTATTCCTTGCGGATAAACATCCAGATAGTCCAACCCTGTCTGCAAAATCCAACAGATAATAGTAAATGTGAAGCAATTGTATAACTAGCTATCATACCCAATATTTTTGGCCTTGTTTAACTATCAAGACTATACTTACCTTTTCACTAATGGGGACGCCATTCTTCAACATAGTTTGCACCACAAAACCTTCTTCTCGGCTGTTTCCATTTATAGTCTCACATGTAGAAAATAAGCAATCTTTGGCATAAAATGTGGCATAGTGATTGATCCCGATAAAATCTAACCCGGATTTCAGAATTTCTAAGTTTGAGCTTGAAAATTCTGGTAAAATCGGCCCAAGAAGATCCCTCATTTCTTTGGGATACACTCCATATATGATTGGATCCAAGAACCTATTTTGTTTGGTTCGGAACAGGATTCTTGAGATGCTATATACTCATGATATATAACTATATATAATGACATTCAAGTGTTGTGAAAGCAAATATACCAGTTTGTTGAGAAGGAAACTGCTCTCATAGCGGCTGCTTTGTCTGCAGTTGAGTTGCTTATTGGTTCATACCAGTTAAAATATAGCGCAACTCCAATTTGCCCTCCTTGCTTTTGCTGTATAATAAACAATCTATCTCATTAACTCTTATTGACTTTGTAAAAAATAAAAACACTTGGAGCTTACCAATTCAGTACGTAGCACAGAGTCAATTAGGACCTAGTGAATAGCTTAGAAAAATCTATGCAGCACTCAGAAAAACAATTAAACACTAGATATTGTTATTGTCCCACACTGGATATCTTTAAAACAATTAAACACTATATTATGATTTAAACTCTTTTTCCTATCAGATTGACCTTTTAGGATGAAACCATGGGTCTTAACATGGTATCAGATCCAAGGGTTTGACGTCTTGTTTAGCACCCATGACTAAGGGTAGCTTGTTAAGGGTCTGTTTGGCCCATTTATACACCCTGATTTTGTGACCTTTTAGGATGGAACCTCAAGTCTTAACATGGAAAAAATAAATGACGGAACGATCTTGATGAAGTGTTTGATCAGGAGGGGTGTTAAAGTCCCACACCGGAATATTATGAAACAATAAAATGATATATTAAGATTTGGGCTACTCCTCCTACACTACAAAAAGATTACGGTATTGGCACGATTTGGCACAGATTTACCGATGATTTCATGCCAAATAACTCGTGTCAAACTGTTTTTGGCACATTTGTTCAACGCCAAACTCTTTTCGTTTCCTCATTAAGATCCATCATATCATATACCTAGGATTCAAGCTTCTAGCATATGGTACGTGAATAAAGGGTTATCGAGCGGTCAGTCCCTAGGTTTCTAGGGTGAGTTTTTCCGGCTAGTGGCGTAGCCCTGCTGCACGGTTGTTTGTGGTGATTTGGTTGGATTGAATAATTTTAGATCAGAAGAGTTTGGATCTATTTTACATCATATCGATAAAACTTCTCTACAACAGTGCCTTTTCAGTCGGTCAAGGCTTGTAGTACCGGTGGTTCGTGGCTTCTCGCCTTGGAGGAGTGGTTCGTCTTCAATTACTTAACACGACAAAAAGAAGTCATGAAGTCCATTGTTAACAACTACGACACTTGCCTACACAATAACTTTTTCTACACTTCTGTAGAAAAAGGAGAAAGGAGAGGAAGAAGATGCAGTATTGCCCGTTCGTCCCCCTCCCGAACCGCCGCCATGGAGGAATCGTGTGGATAGGGTTCGGAAGATGTTTTTTCAAGCTTGGATTTATTTTAAATATCTTGCTCTTATTTTTATTTTTTGATTTGATCTGAATGCTGTTTTGGTTGTTTTCTTTACTTCTACTAGCAGAACTCCAGAGTTTAGGTTGTGTGATTAAAGGTTTATTACGTCCGTCATTGGCTCAGTTAAGCCCATTATAGGATTATCGAGTCATATTGCTTTTTTGTGGGTGATAGACTTTGAATCTGATTCAAGGGAAGACGGTCGGAAATGGACTTTTTGTCTTTTTGTATCTTGCCGGAATTCTCCAGATTGATCGACTTGTTCGCATCTAGCATGGCGACATCCGCCTCCGTCTTTGCTGAATTAAGACGATGAATCCGGCGACCACAACCAAACTCTGGCGGCGGTGATTCAGTGACTCCATCTCTGACACCTCTGCTGACTCTGCCGCCTTTTCTTCTTCTCCTATCTTTGTTGTACGGCTCGAGATCTGGAACTCCATCGCCTTCTATGTTGTTGGAGAGGTGGAGGTTCATTGGTGAGCCGGTGGTGGCATTGGGCGAGTCTGGGGAGGCGGGCTGGAGAGGGCACTGGGCAAGAGAGGGGGTTATGGCTAGGGGTGTGGGTTTGGGCAGGGGGCTGTTGCTGGGGCTGAGAAGGGGCTGGGGTGTGGTGACCGTAGTTGCTGACAGTGACCGGGAGTTGAGGTCTGGTGGCGGGTGGTTTCCGGCGGCAGCGGCACGTCACAGTGAAGGGGTCATTTTGACTGTAGGAAGCATGTCACTGTGGCGGCATCACTGTGGCGGCTGCAGAGGCGGCTTGAACATTTCGGAGACCCTAGACGGAAAATATTTACTATGTACGAATCATTTTTAAAATTAGATAAATTAAAAAAATCACTTTATGAAAAAAATCATATTCAACGTGCACGATATAATATTTGTAATATTTAAAAGGATAAGTTTTTAAATGCAAACATATGTAAAACACAAGGCAAACTTGTACTTGTAACACCCTATTGGCCTATTATTCATACCTTTTAAAGTGAAAAATCAATAATAACTTCATTGTAATCAAGACTAGCTATTTCTTCAATCTATAACGTAGCTAAACCACTTAATATATTTCCGAAAATGGTTGATCATATAATCAAATCGTTTCTCTGCTAATTTTTTTTTTCTTTGTATATTTTGAGTAAAATTTTCAATTGCCCGTCGTGACAAATTTACAATACCTACATATTTATAGGTAATACAAAAATTTTATGGAGTATTTAACATCAAGAAATTCGGGAATTTCCCTCAGAATATCAATTATCGTACAAAATTGCATTCACTATTGGACAACTTTAGTGATTGTGTAGTTGTGTGTAGGGGTGAACAAAAATACCGAAAAATCGGTATACCGCACTTACTGTACCGAAAAATACCGGAAAATACTGGAATATTGGTATACCGTCATTTTCGGTATGGTATCATACCGTACCGATTTATTTCGATACGGTAATGGTAAATGTTTTCAAATACCGCGGTATACCGGTATAATACTGTACCGACTCCCTACCCAACAATTATATTAAATTCTAAAATATTGTAAAAGTCCATTACAATTTTGAAGCCCAAACTTAATACTTAGGTTGGTTACAAATATCAAAATACAAAAATAAAGGCCCAATTTCTGAAAGTCACTATAATCTTCTAGGCTTCTACTACGTAACATTCAAATAAACTAACCCTAATGACTAATGAGTAATATACTAATGTCTAGAAAACAAGTTCATCTTGTCCCAAGAGCTTGCGAGCGGCAATGGCCGAGCCTTTGACGAGTGTATCTACATAGGGATTCCGCGAGTCAAGGCATACAACTTTGTCTGAAAATCTTATTCAATTATTTTTTAATTATAAAAATGACTAAATACACAATCATATTAGGAATAAATGATTTTATATCCATATTGTTTGAAAAAAATATTCATTTTTGTTAGAGATCATTATTGATTTAATTATATCAATATTAATCAAGTTATTTTAGGGGAATGTATTACTTTTTAATATGTGGCATGTTGAACTGCTTAAATACACTAATAATAATAATTGTTCAATATTGAATATGACATCAATAGATTATTAATTGTATTTTGAAACATTTTAATAATGGATTAAATATGTCGTTAGTAACACTCATTTAGTGTATTTTGTTAGTATATGGTAAATTACCGATACCGTACCGTTACCGTACAGAAACTTTGGTATACCGAAATGCGGTATACCGAAACTTCGGTAAGGTAACTGTATATAAATTTTGTAAACCGAAAGTTTTGATACGACAAATGTATGAGAGAAAATATTCGGTATACTGTACCGAACCATCCCAAGTTGTGTGGACTCTGCGGTTACTTTGCTTTACAATTTTAGATTTAATTCTCTGTCTTTATAAACTGCTCCGTAGAATTTTGATTTATGTATATATTTCATTATTTAATCTACTAAAATGTCTAAATTTGATAAAGAGAAATAAGATAAATACAATATACGAACTTACGGAGTATTGCTGTACTAGGAGACTTCGAGAACGAGACTCGCAGAGAAGAGCTGAAAAGTCTCGGTTGATTCACTAACCCAGGACCCAAGTCGATGGTGGGCGACGAGGCATATGTACAGTGCCGGATGGCGGTCTGTGTTGGACGTGGACTATGAAGTCGATTGTTGCTTGCAGTTGCCGCTCAGCGTAGGACCTGTGGACCTAGTATGTGAATAACACCTAATACTAATACCGGAGTAGAACTTTTTGGAGGCCCCATTGGCAGTTGAGGTCCAAGGCAGTTGCCTGGCCCAACTACCCCCAAAGCCACTCCTGGGTGGCGTCACTGTAGCGACATCACGGTGGTTGGAGGCAATGACCGGTGGCGGCGGCAGTTACACGAGCAATGGCGGCGAAAACGACACGGCGATGGCGGCAGCAGTGACACGGGCGATAGCGGCAGTGACATCCGACAGTGACATGAAAATGGGATAGTGACATAAATATTTTTGTGTCACTTTATTTTAGTCACTTTTTTTATCCAAATGTAAAAGTGGTCTAATTTTTTAAAATCAACCTTAATATAGTACTCCCACCGTCCCCCTGTTATTGTCCAGTTTCCTATTGACTTAGTCAACACAAATCACTCTTAATCTCTTACTTTATGTATCGAATTTTTTATCAAATTTGATTCTGGTTTTTGCGACTTTGTAAGGCTTTTAATATAGTTTCTGAATATGTATTTTTTTTCTAAAAATAATTTGAGTGCGGATAAGGATCCGTTTGCTTTATTGTCGATTAAGCATCGTAAACCGTAATGAGAAAAATTCAGAGAGAGTGGTGGTAATATTCACATAATAACCTCATATTTATAAGTCTTCACAATATTACAATTCTTGTGTAGACTTGCCATATTGCGTCCAATTTTATCCATGTAAAGTTTTAGATAAGAGATAATTACCCTAGTTATGATTAAAACTTTTTCACTTTCCCAATGTATGACTTAACTAGTTTTTTTACCAAAATAATATTAAAATTCATAATAATTAATTAAAATTCGTAATATATAAATAAATAAATATTTTAAGTGGACAAATGTACCCTTTAGGTTATATCTATAAAATCCTAAGCTCATATTCTTTTCTCCAACCCTAGCCTCGATTCTCCCACCTCCATAGATCCATCCGCCTGCAGCCGCACGTCCCTGCCGTCGCCGCCCCATAGCTTGCCGTCTGCCGCCGCCGCCCATGGCCCGCCGTCTGCCGCCGCATCATGGCATGTTGTCCGCTGCCGTCCGGTTAGCAAATGCTCGGTAGAAAGTTTACTGCATCAGTAGAAGTTTGTTCGCCGTTCATCTCTCGCACCT